CGTTTCGGCATTAACAGACTGATTAGTTGCCGCCGCAACGGCCTGTCGTTCCGAAGCCAGCATTTCAAGATATCTGTTTTCGGCTTCTATCTCCGCCTGCCGCTTAGCGGCCGCGGTCTAATGATGCATTTGTCCCATCTGTTCTCGTTCCCGCTCTCTAGCAGCCATGGCTAGGGCGAGTCTTTCAGCCTCTAACGTCTTCCGAACTTCTGCCATTGTTTTGTCATCTCCCCTCGGTCCAGACGGGCCCTTTCGGCCAGCTGTGCTTCGCTGGCGAGGAAGTCTCGCTGGGTGTTAGCCTCAGCCAGCCTAGCCTGATCCTCGATAGTTTGCATGAGAAGATATGTGCAATTGTGCTCGCCACTAGGAAAGCACCCTATACACAACCATTGCACACTACACACGGGGCATGCATCAGAGCAACTCTTACAAGCTGGATGCCTACATGCACCTTCTGGCCTGTCGGCTACCCCTGGGCATCTGCTTTCCGCCTGAGGCGCGCAGTCAAGGTTTGGGTTCCAGCATGCCTCCATTATGGAGATGGTACTGTTGCTCCTTGAAGTAGATATCGCCCCTGATCTTGGCATTTTGGGTCTTCCCCTACTAGACGTATTTGATCTGGGGCGCACGAGCGCACTTGCTGGGGGTTCAGGTACCTCTCGTCCTGGCTTATAAGCTCAGAGTGCGAAGCTGGTTGCGCGACCATTTCTTCACCCTCAACAACAGCTGGCATCGAGGGCTGCCAATCGCCTGGGGCGACGGCAGGGCGATAGAAACCTTCTTTGAGTGGTGATTCGTTTAAGTCATACTCTTCGTTTCCCTGCTTCTTGAATTGAGGTGCAGGGGTCCTTCCTGTTGGCTCCCTGTCATGCTTCGCCTGAGTCTCGTTCCTGTCCGCCTGAGGCGTCAGGATACTGGTATCTTCATCAGATCCATATGGGGGCCACCTCTCGCCTTGGGCGGGGTGGTTTTCTTCCATCATCAAGGACAATGCTCGGCTCAGAGAGATTCCTTTGTTGATAATTGCTAAATTCTTCCTCCATTGCGTTTGTTTCATGCTCTTTATCCATGGGATCATCACTGTCTTGACCGAGCTGTCCATTGAATGTGATTGGGAGGGGAACATCTCTATTCGTACCTGCCCATTCGCCTGGGACGCTGGGGTACACGCCTGCGTTCTCATGGGCTTCCCCTTGCCGACTGGCTTTACCAGTGGCAGGCACGATTGTATGTGTAGCATTCGGGATCGGGCTGATTGACTCCGTCGATTTGGCACTCCAAGACGAGAACGTACTTCGTCTAGGTCTCGCTGTTATGCCCCTTCGTCCATACGGGTCTGGGGTTTGTTCCCGATTGCCAATTGGACTTCCAGAGGGAGATACATCTACTGACATCTCTACCACTCCTTCAGTGCTCCTACCCCTAGATGCCCGAGTGGCGATATTGGAAGGAGGAATGCGGCCCTGGCCAGGACCGCTCTCGTTGATGTCATGTCCGTCATGTTGTACAACATACTGACCTGCGCTTCGCGAATCGACGGACACGTCATCTGTCTTATCACAACTCATTCCCGCAGCGACTAAGTCGAGGGGTTCATCCGAAGTTCTTGCTTCTGGGTGAGATGATCCCGCGTCGACTAAGTCGCGCGATTCGGCTGATAACCAATCTTTCCTCTGAGAATCGGGGTAAGATGCCAAAGGAATTAAGATATCATGTTCACTCTGCTCAGAGAGAGAGAGAGAGGGGGCGGGATGAGACATTGATAAGACAAGTATCCGGTAAACAAGTTTACTATATCAGGAATGTGAAGGGAGGAGGCCGGCTGGCCTATGACCGACGACGGGCGACGGCTGGGGGCTGGCGCGCTCCTTTCTCTCCTGCAAGCAAACGAAGGCTTGCTTGAGTAAACAAACAGCTGCAATATGCAGCGCAAGTTCAAGTCAGACAGTGCACAGCATTCAAGTATATCTATAAGTGATATTGTTATGAGGCGGAAAGGAGCATGTTTACTAGAGCGGACCCCCCCCCTCCCCTGCACCCCCTCCCGTGCAGAGCAGACCCCCCCTCCTGCACCCCCTCCCCCTGCAGAGCGACCCCCCCCCACTTCCACGGCACCCCCCCCCACCTGCAGAGCCAGGGACCCCCCCTCTTGCACCCCCTCACCCTGCAGAGCGGACCCCCCCTCTCCCCCGCAGCCCCTCCCCATCTGCCCCGAACGGACCCCCCCCTGCAGAGCAGACCCCCCCCCTCTGCAACCCAGCTCCCCCCCCGTCGTCGTCGTCGTCGTCGTTGTCGTCGCGTCGTCGTCGTCGTCGTCGCTCGCGTCGTCGTCGTCGTCGTCGTCGCCGTCGTCGTCGTCGTCGTCGTGGTCGCTGTCGTCGTCGCTCTCGTCGTCGTCGTCGTCGTCGACGTATTCGTTTTCGTCGTCGTTTTCGTCTTCCTCGTCGTCGTTAATTTCCACAGGCACCCGGAGCGCCCTGGATCGGCGGCACTGGCCGGAAGCCATTACAGTCTCACGTTCTGGCAGCGCCTTCCCTAGCATCAGCGGAATTTATCCCGGCAAAGCATATCTGGAAGCATATCTAGAAGCAGTCCCCTGAATATTCAGGTGAGAATCCAGTTGTAGAGTTCTGCTGTTCTCGCAGTCGCAGTCCCATTCGCAATGACAGACGCAGTGGCAACGGCCTTAGGATCCAATGGAATCCTAATGATTCCTAGGGATTCCTAAGGCATCCTTAGGCATCCTTAGGAATCCATAGGAATCCTTAGGAAACCTTAGGAATCCTTAGGAATCCTGATTCCTGGGGATTCCCAGGGATTCCTAAGGATTCCTAGGGAATCCTAAGGATTCCTGAGGATGCTTAACTATGCCTACGGATTCCCAAGGATGCCTACGGATTGCTAAAGATTCCTAGGGAATCCTAAGGATTCCTATGGATTCCTACGGATGCCTCAGCCTGCCTCAGTTTCAGCCTCAGCCTCAGCCTCAGCCTGCCTCGGCCTCAGCCTCAGCCTGCCTCAGCCTCAGCCTCAGCCTGCAACCTGCCTCGGCCTCAGCCTCAGCCTCAGCCTCAGCCTCAGCCTCAGCCTGCCTCGGCTTGATCAGCCTCAGCCTCAGCCTGCCTCGGCCTCAACCTGCCTCGGCCTCAGCCTGCCTCAGCCCCCCCTCCCCCCCCCCCCCCCCTCCCCCCTCCCCCCCCCCCCCCCTGCCTCCGCCTCCAAACCTGCCTCGGCGGCCTCGGCCTCAGCTGCCTCCCTCCTCAGGCGCACCCTCCCCCCACACCTCCCCTTTCCCCCCCCCACCCCTTCAGCTTCACCTTGGTCTCAGCTTCCGCCTGCCTCGGCCTCCATCCTCAGCCTCAGCTTCAGCCTCAAGCCTGTCTCGGCCTGAGATTGGCCTCGGCCCTCAGCCTCAGCGCCCCGGCCCAGCCTCAGCCTGCCTCAGCCTCAGCCTCAGCCTGCCTCAGCCTCAGCCTGCATCAGCCTCAGCCTCAGCCTGCCTCAGCCGCAGCTTGCCTCAGCCCCAGCCACAGCCTCAGCCTCAGCCTCAGCCTGCCTCAGCTTCAGCCTCAGCCTCAGCCTGCCTCGGCTTGCCTCAGCCTCAGCCTCAGCCTGCCTCGGCCTCAGCCTCAGCCTCAGCCTGCCTCAGCCTCAGCGTCAGCCTCTCAGCCGCAGCCTGCATCAGCCTCAGCCTCGGCCTCAGCCTGCCTCAGGCTCAGTCTCAGCCTGCCTCAGCCTCAGCCTGCCTCAGCCTCAGCCTCACAGTTGGCTCCGGGCAATCAAGATATGGTACAGGAGCGGTGTTCTGGGAACACGAAGAACACGAAGTTGCCTACAGTTGTTGGCTCCGGGCATTCAACATGTGCCCTGGGAATGGTGTTCTGGGAAGACGAAGAACACGAAGGGCCTACAGCTTGCTCCGGGCATTCAAAATGTGGCCTGGGAATGGTGTTCTGGGAAGACGAAAAACACGAAGTGGCCTACAGTTGGTTCCGGGCATTCAACATGTGGCCTGGGAACGGTGTTCTGGGAACACGAAGAACACGAAATGGCCTACAGTTGGCTCCGGGCATTCAAAATGTGGCCTGGGGAGTCCCCAGATCCTCCCCGGCACCCGCCCAAACCCCTCTGAGGAGTCCCGTGGAGTCCCCGGATTCTCCCCGGCATCCGCCCAGACCCCCGTGGGGAGTCAAGATGCTCTCTTTTGACCCCACTAGAAACCTATCAGTCTTCGCTGTTAGGTAAAGACACCTGTTATCATGCTGGCTGGAAACCTCCACGGTCTTGCGCCGCCCCTTCCAAAGGGGGGCGTCGCGGCAGCGGCTTCCACCGATGCCCAACATGGACCCACTCGCAGTGTCCCCGTGCAGCGAACGACCTTCATCTCGGCGTCGCTGCATGCCGAAACAGTTCCGCGCTGCCCGGCGCTAGTGCGGGTTGGCCACTGCGAACAAATATGTTTTCGTCACGTGCGATCCCCTGTCGGACAAACAGCTCAAGAAGAGTTTCTCCACGGACTGAATTGTGGCGAGGTGTGCTTGAATCAATTGGTTTTCCGTGACAAAGCAGAAGCAGGGCGCCTCGTACTCTTGGAATTCGTGCCTCGACTTGTTCCCCTGTATCCTGCAATGTGTGGTCCGCGCTCTTCTGATTTTTCTCCTCCTTCTGCTTCTAATTCGTCGTCACGTCCGGCCTGAGGTTATACGCGCTAACAGTGGCGCGCTGACCTTGGGCGCCTTTGTCGCCTCCCCTAGCCCCTCCTCCTCTTCCTCCTCCTCCTCCTCCTGCGCTTCCTCTGATTCCCTTCCGCCCTCCTCCAACACCACCTCATTCTCCGACGACGCCGATGAAGACGCTAACGACGAAGACGACGACAACGTTGGCAACGACGACGACGACGATGGCGACGACCACAACGACGAGGACGACGACGACAGCGACGTTGAAAACGGCGACGACGACGACGACGAGGACGACGGCGACGACGAGGCGTTCGGCTCCTCGACGGTCCAGGTGATCTTCAAGCGGCGGTGCCCCTTGTCATGGGCCTGCACCTCCGCGCGGGGGACGGGTGGGGCGGCCCTCCTCCCGATCATGCTTCCGGTGCTCCTTCTGGTGATCCTCCTCCTCCTCCTAACAAAATCGGCCAGCATTGACTCGGAAAATCAGATCGTATCGGAATGTGTCGGGCTGGGCTCCGTCGGCGCGGAGTCGGAACCGAATCGCATCGGCTGCGCCTAGATGCTCAGCAACGCCGTGAAAATATCGGGCCGCATCGGCCCGTCGGAAAATCGGAATGAAGCAGGTCGAGCCGGCCGAAATCCATATCGAATCGGATCGACTGGATTGAGCATGGCCCTGCCTGGTGCGTTTCTATACCCCCATTGTGTCCCTCAAACGGTAGGCCGCATTAGACCGAACTGCTACGGGCCGCTCGGGCGAAGTGTTCTTATTCGGGTACTGGGACCCAGGAGCGAGAGAGAACACCAGGCTCCGCGGCCTCAGCTCTTCTCCTGATGCTCCTCATGTGCGGCCGGACCTCGTACATAAAAACACGATTCAGGAACACGAGATCCTTCGAGGGCCAAACTGAAGAGCATTCGAGGCCACCCTCCCCCAGAATGCACAAGAGCAGCCAACAACACGAATAACATGAGGGCACCCTTTCCTAGCCGAACTCAATATGATACCTCGGTACGACGGTACTTCGCGGATGAGCTCGTCAAAGCAAAACACCCCAAACAATCCTGCCTCGCCCTCCCCTCCCTGATGCTGGTCCTCCACTCCGTGCACGTCCCCCTCCTTCTCACTCCGAGCGACCTCCTGCTGGGGCCGTACGAGCAACGCAAGCCCTCAGACGTTACACGCTGCGCCAAGTGCTTCTCTCCCCCTTACCCTTTTCCTCCTCCTCCTCCTTCTCCTCCTCCTCCTTATCCTCGTCCTCCCTCCTCCCTCCTCCTACTCCGCGTCCTCCTCCCCGCCCTCGTCCTCCTCTTCATCCTCCTCCTCCGCGTCGTCTTCCTCCTCCTACTACGACGAGAATGACGGCGACGGCGAAGACGACACACCACTATCACGGTCATGACGAACGACGACGACCACCACCACCGCCGCCACCACCACCACCAGCACGGCGGCGACGGCGGCAGCGGCGGCGACGACGGCGGCGCCAGCCTCCATGGCGTAGCCTCGCGCCTCGGCCGCCGCCCGGTAGGCGGCCGGGTGGGCGGCGAAGTGCTGGGCGGGGCGGCGGGGGCGCGCGCAGGCGACAGTGCAGGGCAGGGCTCACGGGCAGGGTGCGGCAGGCTCCTGGTCGTGTCAGCGTGGGCTCTTGTCCCTGGCACCGCGTGGATCCTTCGGTCTTGAGTGATCGGCAACTTGCGACAATTGAGATAGAGCAAAATTTGCCTGGTTCAAACTGCTGAGCGCCCGCGCTGGCGTGGCCGCCGCGTCGACACGACACGAAACTTCCGTGCATATCCCCGTCCACGGCCTCGTCATCTGGGCTCCTCGGACGCGGCCCCGCGCGAGACATATGTATCCATGGGTCGCGCCTGGGTATCCAGACTGCACCCGAATAACCCTCGGATCCCTTCATCCAAAGGCCCCCGAAAAGGTGTCCAGGAGACCCCTAACGGACCCCAACCTGCCTCTCAGGAGCCTCTGGTCCATAACCCAATCACCAAACATGGTGGCGGGATGGGCCAAGCGCTAGATCCACCGTCCCCTCCGGCTTGCCGCAGAGGTGCTTGGCGTACCCAACTGTTAAGCTCTCTTCGGTTCGCTCAACAAGTTGCCAGTGGCCTTCGGCCTAACCCGCCAGCCCCCCCCGAAGGCAGCGTCACACCCAGCCTCCGTCAGTGTTCATACCCAAGATGGCTCAAAAGCTGGCTCCAAAACGGCCAAGATAGCCTCCAAAACGGAACCGAGAGGCCTCCAAGACGGCCAAGATGGCCACGAGAGGGCCGAAGATCGCCGCAAGAAACCCCAAGCTGGTTTGAGATTGCTTGAAAACGGCACCAGATAACCCAACTATTGCCCAAAAGGCCCCCGAAACAGACCAACAGGGCTTCAAGATACCCTCCAAAAGGGCTATAATAAACCCAAACCTACGACTCCCAAAAAGTGTTTGCACTTAGGGCTTCGTGCTTGTGCTGCTTGAGCGAACCCGATGGGTTCACCAACTTTCGCCACGTTGCCGCTCGTGCTACGCCGTGGGTGCCTCGTGCGCTGGGTGGTTTCCCCGAGGATTCGCCACGCTGCCGCCCGTGCCGCGTGAAGGGCGCCTCGCGGGCGCCGCCCGTGCCGCCTCTTGGGCGCCCCAGGCGCTGAGCTTGCACCACGTAGCTTACACCACATAGTTGACACCTTTAGCTCGCCTCGCAGAGCTTGCACTGCTGACACGACACAGCTCGCACCACATAGCGTTCACCCCCATAGCTCACACCACATAGCTTACACGACATGGCTTACACCACATAGCTTATACCGTATAGCATCCACCTCCAGTGCGCAATAACTCATTGACATGTGGGTTGGAAAATTCGACACCTGCCGCTGGGCATGGAGTGGACGTGTCCTCAGGCCCTTTGCCTAATCCCTGAGGCCTCAATCCTCACTCCTGATATTTTTCCCCACCGTCCTATGATGTTGGGTCATCGTTTGAAAGACACGGCACCCCGCGTCCCACCTCCTCTCGTCTCCTGTCCTCTCCTCTCCTCTCCTTCCTCCTCCCTCCCCTCCCTCCTCCCGCCCTTGCCTCTGCCCTCCGCATGCCAACCAATTTGGCATTCCAGTCACCCCCCTCATTGTGGAATACCCCTCACACGCTTCGTGGCCCCATAGGGAACTCCACCGAAAGCCCAGCTGCCAGCGCTCGCATGCGGCCACCGCGCCCATGTTGGCACACCCCTCGCACGGTTCGTGGCCCCATAGGACGTCCCACCGAAGGCCCAGCTGCCAACACTCGCATGCGGCCACCGCGCCCATTTTAGCACACCCCTCACACGCTTCGTGGCCCCATAGGGGGCTCCACCGAAGGCCCACATGCCAACGCTCGCATGCGGCCACCGCGCCCATTTTGGCACACCCATCACACGCTTCGTGGCCCGATAGGACGCTCCACCGAAGGCCCAGATGCCATCGCTCGCATGCGGCCACCGCACCCATGTTGGCACACCCCTCACACGCTTCGTGGCCCCATAGGACGCCCCACCGAAGGCCCAGCGGCCAGCACTCGCATGCGGCCACCGCGCTCATTTTAGCACACCCCTCTCACGCTGCGTGGCCCCATAGGGAACTCCACCGGAGGCCCACATGCCAACACTCGCATGCGGCCGCCGCACCCATGTTTGCACACCCCTCAAACGTTTCGTGGCCCCATAGGGAGCTCTGCCGAACGCAGCGACGGGCCTCAAAACTGCGAACTGGTGGGTCCTTCGCCAGGCTGATTTGATGAGCCGGGACATCTAATCCAAAATATGCCAGGGTTTGCGGCGTGCCCCCCCGCGTTGCCCCCGCGTTGCCTTCCAGGTCCAAAAGGCCCCAAGACTGGCCAAGAGGGCCCAAAAAGGCCCCGATGACGGAACAAGAGGGCCCCGAGTCGCCGAATGATCGCTCCAATATGCTCAAAAAGACCCCCAAAGGGCCTCAGAGGCTTCCAGCAGGGCCCCAAGAGGCAACCATTATTGATTGCCCTCTGGTTTTGAAAATTTTTTCACACTTCTTTGCCCCCCCCGACGCTTCTGGACGGACCCGATTCCTGAGATCAGTCGGAAAGGGGTTGGGATACCCAACCAACAGCTTCGCCTCAAGCGAAGCCCAACCCCCCCTCTGTTGTACCGTAGTAACGATAGTCCCAGTAGTAGGGGCGAGCCATCTCAAGCAGTATTTTGGCACCGATGGCGAATAGTATGCCTCGCAATGAGGCGCAGTCACATGTGGGCGGCCGGCCGCTTGAGCCGACGCGGCCGCGGGCATACGCTCGCTTCCGCTCCCTGTCGAAGACGAAGCTTGAGTCCACAGCCCCTTATACAACAAACACAGCAGCTACTATTTGCAAAAAGACAGCAAAAGGGCGGGGCCGCAAGGAAGGTGGACCCGCACGCAAGTTGGCTTGCCTGTGCCATTCTGTACATCCATAGACTCCTCAGGCGGCTATAGAACAGGATGTCTGGCCAGCCCGATCGGGAGTATGACTCCTTAAGTCATGTTTGAAGGCTCGGATACCTCCCATGACCTGTAGGAGCATATCTGTGTCGATGCTCCCCTTGGTGTGACTGTCCGCAGTCATATCGCGGGTGTCGCACCAAAGAATATTGTGCACGATTCCGCGCTCCATCATCTGTCGTATCCAACTGCTGTGTCCTAAAAGGGTACGCTCAGTCGGCTTCATCAGGTCTGTGCTTGACAAGGACTTGGAAACAGACTCAGCATCTATGGTCAAAGTGACCTTGATGCTCAGGCCACCAAACTCAAGTATGTCCTTCAACTGAGTGGGAGTGAGCGGCCATGCGTGGAGCTTGTGCAGAGTCACAATCGTGGGATAACAGTCCTCCAAAGCATGGGCAGCTGCTAGTGCCTCTGCTGACTAACTCGAGCGGACCTGCAAGCGGCGAGACTTGCAGTGCGCATCGATCAAGTGGGCGACGGGCTTACCATATGTCGTGTTCCCACGCCATAGCTTTACAAACTTGTCCCGCGAATACCAGCCTTTGACGTCGTCATCCGCGTCTCCACTCAAGCGTCGGTAACCTGAGTCGCTGTGCAGGTCGACCTCGCCCGTGGGAGTCATCGCCTGATAGGCGATCTTCTTGGGGCAGGCCTGCAGCTTCCTGGTGATCGCGTTCAGTCGTCGCAGTTGTATATTGATCGGTTCTTGGACGCGTTTTAGAGATACAACATACACCATTAACCACACCTGGGTGATTAATGCATGAGCCAGCGCACCTCTGAGGCTGACGAACATGTCTGCAACCATCTTGGAAGCCCGAGCGTCAGCGTCGGCGCCGGAAAGTTCAGGATGTTGTATAGTTGTGATGCACCGCTCAGCTCATCCCTGGGAAATGCTGAACACATCATTGACTTACCCTTGTTTCTTAGCGGGGAACGATTCTCTCTACTATACTCGCTGGTCAAAGCGACTCGGATCCGAGACAGAAGGAGGCGAGGGCTCCGCCCGGCCTCATCAAAGTCGCACCCTGGATGGACAGGGATGGGTGGGCCCAAAGTGGCTCAAGAAGGGAGGGGGGCCAGGATGACTGCTGAGTGGCACGATGAAGATCGATGAGACCGACACCCCAAACCTCGCTAAGTCATTAATGTGCACGCACCCCCATGACTTACCCTTGTTTCTTAGCGGGGAACGATTCTCTCTACTATACTCGCTGGTCAAAGCGACTCGGATCCGAGACAGAAGGAGGCGAGGGCTCCGCCCGGCCTCATCAAAGTCGCACCCTGGATGGACAGGGATGGGTGGGCCCAAAGTGGCTCAAGAAGGGAGGGGGGCCAGGATGACTGCTGAGTGGCACGATGAAGATCGATGAGACCGACACCCCAAACCTCGCTAAGTCATTAATGTGCACGCACCCCCATGACTTACCCTTGTTTCTTAGCGGGGAACGATTCTCTCTACTATACTCGCTGGTCAAAGCGACTCGGATCCGAGACAGAAGGAGGCGAGGGCTCCGCCCCGCCTCATCAAAGTCACACCCGATTCAGATTCCCAAACCAGAAGATGTTCTCACACCGTAAGGTAACAGGCCCGAAGGGCCGATAAAACAGTAAAACACACGGCCGACTGGAAACGTTTGGGGACCAGCTCAGAGGCGCGAGGCACGGCAACGTGTTCCTTGTGGCCATCTCGGGCCCGAGCGCCTGGGCACCTCAGGCCAAGGCGGGTGGCGTCGTCAGACATCACATGCATGATAAAAACAGAAACACGGAATCGGGCACAACCCTTGTACCGACACATGTGTGAAACGAGGCAATCGAGGTCGAAAGCGGGAAAGCGGCAGGAAACAGCATCACTCACCGAAGAGAAGCAACTGATCACTGAAGGAACCTCCCATCTGTAGGCGTCCGAGATGAGCCGAACCAAACCTGTAGTCAGCAGCTCAGAGGTGAGAGAGACAACGATTGCCCCAATCTTGCCAGCACGGAGGTCGCTCCTCAATCGAAAGGACGCGACGTCATCCAGATTTTGATCTGGTATATATCTAACTAAAAAAAACTCATTT